TCGAGATTCCCAGAGATGTCTGCTCGGAGATAGATACGTGCTCGGGGAAAGCGTGTCCTGTCCGAACGACGATAGCTGGAGAGCCGGGACTTGCATAATTTTGTAGAGTAACGTCCGGACTATGTATACATGCAAAAAAATTACTAATATTGTATGCTAGTTTTCTGAGAACGGAGCTAGTTTTCCAAAGATCCTCTGGAAATCCGAGCTTTGAAATTTTTTCGAAAGTTGTTTTTGCTTGTGAAAAGTTCCGCTCAAGTCTTGGCTATCGAACAGCGAAAATCGCAGGTCTCTATCTGTCTCATGTGAGAAGTTATTCAGAAAGCAACCGGGGGCCGTATTTTCGCCGTATTTTGGCGACGATAGTAGATAAGTTTACAAAATCGACCTATACCTAGTGGACTCGACGAGATTCGAAGCATCACCAGTAATAGAGTTTTGGATCTGGAATCAATTTAACAACTTTTTTTATATTCAGTTTCTGATGCTGAATCTGAAAAAATTATTTTCAGAAGCTGAAAAAGAGCGAAGTAGAAAATTTTGCATATTTCAAAAAAGATGTGTTTTTCTCGAAAAACGACACCTTTAGAGTATTTCGTATTTTTCGATCGGAAGGAAGTATTTGCCAAGACTAAAAAGTTGTTTTTCGTGATCAGCAGCTCACGCTCTATCAAATGATGTAAAGAAAACGCAAAAAAATTGTTTTTACTGAAAATTCGCATTGCCGGCACTTTACTACATAGGCGAGGTCATCAACAACGACGTACCACCTGTCGACGAAATACGAAGAGCTGTCCAAAAGTATCTTAATCGAACCTTCCTCATTGAAGGCCTGAATGAATCGAATGTATGGCTGAGACGAGTTCGAAAGCAGACTGATTAATTCCTTTTTGATTTTCTTTAAACTGGAAGGGTTTGCGTCGAGTGGTAGCGCGACCAGGTTGTATTGGGGTTGACTTCGCTCATGCTTTTGAGAAATTTCTGGTGAACGTCTCCGATTTTCGGACCCTCCTACCGAAGCTTCGCACCACCACTGTCTATACTTAAATCAAAATTCTTTACGTGACGCTCTTATACTTACACTAATTGAAAAGACAAAAGATGAATAAGTATTTAGTCTAGAAATTTCTAGATGAATTTCCACTTGATAGAAAATCGCCGGAGATTTTCCAGTTTATAGAAAATCCTCAGCGATTCTCCACCTTTAGAGAAAATCGAATTTATGGAAATTCAAGTCGATTTTTTATAAAGTAGAAAATCAACATTTCCAAGAAAGTTGGAAATTCGCCGAGAAAGTTCTATAAACTAGAAAATCCCCGGCGATTTTTCGCTCGATTTTCTATAAACTGGAAATTAATTCAACATTACAGTGTAGAAGGTGTGAATAAGGTCCCCCACAAAGCATCTAAAACAGTGAAACGTAATATCGGAGTTTGTGTTTCAGAACAAAACGGAGGAAATTTTAAGTCTGAACTTTCTTTCTTAGAACTAAAGTCCATTTCTGAGTTTTGACTTTTCAGTATCTAACAGCGTCCAGCTCAGGAAACTTCTTGATATCAAAGTTTATTCCTTAAAAATTTCGCAAATACTGCTCAAATGGAAAACTTTGAAAAAGTAATCCTGACAATATTCGAACTATGGTCTTACTTTCGATCTTCATATTAATGAACTAAAACTTGTCTTCTTCTAGTTTAAATGTGAATAATAACGTAGTACATTGTCCAAAATTAAGTGAAAAAAATACGCTAATATAAAAAAAGGGTTAAGTGGTACAGCAAACAAAAAGAACAAACAAATAAAATACAATAATAATGAGTAATTTTCGTTAATCATCATTTTTATCTCCTTAGACCCAATATAAATTTTAATTATTTTGGTTTCTTCGTTGTACGAGCAGATGCAATTTCACCGTAAACAGTAACTAATTCACTTGAGTTTGTAATATTTTTAAATGTACCATTCATTTTGTCATTTATCTGAGCTAATATCTTAAAGTCAGTGCTGCCTAAACCCATTGTCCAAAAATTCGCAATACTTTTACCGTATTTGTCGCTTAAAATATCTAATTCACTCTTTGGATAACGTGCTTCACCGTCGCTCAGAAAAACGATGGAATGGATCAACGATGTGTCTGGTTTTTTATTTGTATTTGCTGTTTCCATTGTACGATTGATCAAAGAGATCGCAGTGGAAAAACAGGTTCCACTGCCAACTTTCTTCTCTTTTTCCTTAATTGCTGCCATAACATCAAATGATTTAATATCTTCATTACAACAAGCCCACTTCGCTTCGCTACCAAATACAACTACGGATATGCGATCTGCTGTTGGAGAAGATTTACGAATTTTAAGAAACTTGTCAACAGCGTCCATCAGATCGTGCCACGATTTTCCCTGCATTGAACCAGAATTATCAAGAACTAATATGAAATGTTGGGGTGGTTCCACATTTTTCATTACAAAAACCATGTCGGAATAATAATCTTTGCAAAATTCTTTACCAATTTTTTCCCAGATAAGATGATATTTAGTTCGTAGAATGTTTAATCTCTCTGCTGTTAAGGATTTTTCATTTCCAAAGTCCCATTCATTATGTAGTGTTTTAAAGTCTATCCAAGTCATACGTTGATTTCCACTGGTGACAATAGTATCGTCATCCTTAATTTCCTCACACATTTTTACTGATGATTCATTTGTAAATTCAAGTTTTACTCCGCCCATACAACGATATTGATGACCTGTACCACATCTATGTTTATTGTATGTGCTTCCTTGTTCTGCTATAATTTTAATATGGTTAGCGTCACACGGTCGTGCACAACAGGGACAGGGTTCTTCACAGCCACGTGCTTTTGATAACAGTTTTCGATAGGTGTCATCTGAATCCATATTAATAAAATCAACTGGCATTGATTGAAGTTCATCTCTCTTCTGAACTCCAAATTCAATTAATTTTTCAAGAAAATTAAATAGATCACTAATAGAACATTGTTCATAAGCATTTCTTATTTCTTTTTGTTTCACTAAATCGATTACGGTTTGCTTTGATTTACTGAGTGCTTGAAATTGAGCAGTGTCTTGTAAAACGTAAACGATATTATCGACAGAATACGTCTGTTTAATATTTTGATTTGAAAGACTACTGTAGAAAACTGACGCCATACATTTCCCCTTGTTTTTTAAGTGATTACCAGCACCACCTGTGGAGAAATATCCCATTGACATAGAACTAGTCTTACTAGCTGTTGTTGTTGTTGGGGGTGGTGGTGTATTACCACCGCTTCCACCGTCAGGTGTAGAAAACGAATTATCAATGAACTGTGTTCCTGATCCGTTATTATTTATTTTCAGAATTTTTAACATATTCTGTAGAGTTGAAATATAATCTGAATAAATATCAAGAAGATCGTCTCGTGCCTTTGTTATTTTCAAACGAATTTCTGTTTCTTTACTGATCCATTTCTGTGCAAAAATTCGTTCAATAACTGTATTTGGAGACAATATATATTCAATATGCCATTTAACGTCATTTTTACTAAGCTGTGAATCATCACAATCCTGTTGTATCTTTTCACGAGTAAATTCTTTATCATCTTTTACAGCTTCGTTGATTATAATCTTTGCTTTTTCTCTCAGTTCCCGGCTAAAAATATCACTAATTTGCTGAGATGAACTCATGGCAAAATCAGAATCCATTTCAATATCTGGTAAGACCATTCGTAGAAAATAGCTTTTCAAAGCCGGTTTTATTTTGTTGAGAATATCTATTTGTTGATTAAAATGATCTTTTTGTTCTTTAAAATAAAGTTTTGTTAACAGAACAACGTTAACTGTATGAAGTGCTGATGATGCATGTTTAGACAGGGATACGTTAAATAAATTCAATTCCATATCAACTTCTTTCAGTGATGTATTGACTAAGCCAACAATTTTTTGTACTAAATCGATGTCAATCGGAGAAACGCCCGTACCATTTTCGCACAGTAAGTTCATGATTTGTGTGTAAATACCATCGAAAATGAGTAATAAAGGTAGAATATTTTTTACCGGCTTAGCAAGCTCCTCGTTGTATAATAAATGCATAAAACGTCTTTGGAATTCATAATTAGATGGAGGTGCAATGAAACTGGTATCGTGTGAGGCTGAGCCTGATGTTTCTTGTCGTTGATCATCACTACTACCTAAATGTAATGCATTGGATAAATAGCTGACTAATTTACCGATTCTAGTTGTGGATTCCGATGCTTGTCTGGTCTTTGGCAGTGGAGGTTTTGGTGAAGATTGCATTTGTGAAGCATTCGACTCTGATAAATTTGAGCCAGTCATTAATTTAAGAATAAGTTTTTTGTTTAAATATGTCAAACCGTTTATCGTTTCTGACGACCATTCCGCTGGAGCTGAATGAACTGTTTGATGCTCTTCGATAGTGGGGTACGATGACAGCTGTTTAATATAAATCTGTCGCATTTCTCTCTGTAAGTCACTTAAACCTAGATCACCTAGTTTAGAAGAAATAAATTTCAAAATATGTTCGGGTGCTGGTAAATTCTTTTTCTCAAAACTGTTATAATTTGGATAAATATATTTGATTGCTGTTTGCAGTCGATCCGCTTCATTAAACTTTTTACGGATACTTTCAACTTTTTCATTCCACATAACGTCATATTTTTGCTCGGCAGATGCTTTTGTTTCCTTTATACGACTCTTTATCATTTGTTCGACCAGTTCTCTCATCTCATCACCGCCCGTATGCCAGAGTGCTTCTGTTGTTACTCTATCATTTTCTTGAAGTGCTGTAGTTCGCCAAGCGATTTTCATACCGGTGAATTGTGTAAGCAAAAATTCTTTCGCACGTTTTCGTATTGTTTCCGACGCCTGATGTGATTTTAATGCATCTTCTAGTTCTGCGTCTAGTTCTTCCAATATAGGTCCGAACAGTAAATTAATATAGTCGTCAATTTTAGATTCAGTTAACGCACGTGTTCCTTTAATCATCTTTAGACGCAATTCGAGTGTTAGTTTTTTTTCTATTGCAACACGAATAAATTCACGGATAATCAGATCTTGATTCTTTTCATGTATGTCAACAAAGTATGTCAAATCGGGAAACTTTAACAAAACGTCGAACAACGTATTAGCAAAACTAAGCCACTGTGGTGGATCGACGAATTGTGTTTTACTTTTCTGAAAACACAACGTGGCTGAATTCATCAGTTTTCCACATAAAAGCTGCGCTTTTTCAATGAAATCTGGAATTGTACGAACGACGCTCGACGAATCTGAATCACTTTCACACAAACGTTCAGGTTTATAACCCAATGGCAGCGTATGAAATGTTTCTTTTGTTATTTTAATAACTTTATCCAGTTTTTTCTCTTTTAAGTTTTGCAATAACTTATTAATTACTTCTTCATGATTTTGTACATCTTGACTGAAAGCTTTCTGATTCAGAACGAAATGTACCGTCGGTTCCGGTACGCGGTTAACGCCAACGTTCTGAAGAGAATCGGCACACAGTGTGACCAATTTCTTCATTGAACTATCAAATTCACCCTTGATATTTACAATAACAAGATGTGAGACGGCGAGACAAAACAACACAATACGTCGATCGTATTCTGCATTGTCAGTTTCACCGGATGATAAACCTTCGGTGTCAATTAACATTATATAATCAAAATCGTTTGAATTTGATTTCACGAGTGAACCATAGATACCTCGTGTACACCTACCATCGCGTACATCAAACAGAGTGCCAAACATATAATTCAATAGAGTACTTTTCCCACTATTCTGCGGTCCAATGATACTAATAATCAAAACTCTTTTATTTTTAAAATACATTAAAGCTTCATACAAAAATTCGTAATGAAGACAAAAATTGTCACCGTCAATAATTTCATAGGGAAAACCAGCTTCAATGTACTTTTGATACGATGTTCTAATAAGATTTCTAATTTTTGATTTATTCTGATATTTATAACAGACAATAGCATTACGCCATAGAACTTCAACTGATAGAGATTTTTCAACTGACAGATCACCAGCTTTTGACTGCTCTGATACAAATAAATTTTTTTCAAATTTTAAATCAGACGAGAGAATATCAAGGTTCATCAGAGTATCTGGTTTTTCAAGTAGATCAACAAAATCTTCAAAAATAACACCACATTTATCCGCTTTAATGTTCTGCAATTCCTGGTGTACTTTGAACGATTTGTCTTGTAATGGGAACATTGTATCGCTTTGTGCACCGTAGAAACTAATTTTTGTCAGCTGTTGTGTTAGTTTACACCATTCAATGAACAAGGAATAGATAGGATAACTTTTTTCACTTGGTTCTGTTGCGGCTTTTATTAAATGATTTTTCAGAGTTGCGATGATCGTAGTACTATTCCTCAGCATTTCAGCTGATTTAGGATTAACCAGTTTTCGGATTTCTTTTCGTTTTACATCTCTTTTTGTTTTTAAAAACTGTTCATTGGATGTTGACTGGAGTGAACTAGTTTTCACTTGATTTAGTATCATAGTACGTAAGTTTTCAATTAAATCCTGTCCTTCGTTATCACTCTGATTTCTAAGATCTGGTAGTTGCCATTTAGAATAGATGGCTAGAGACTTTGGGAGTCGATCATTATCGTTGATATCCTTATCATCTTGTACATCGCGTACCACAATTAGTCGGTATTTATCTTTTGGTAAAATATCAAGAAATTTTACTGTAGAATCAACATTCTGCATCAAATATTCGTCGCTAACTTGTATTAGAAATCCGTCAAAAAGCGTTAATAGTTTTTCAATTACTTCTTTTGTTGGTTGTCCATGAACATCAGCAATATTCAGTTCACGTTTTACAATGAAATGATAACCAAAGTCGATATCAATTGTATTTTGAAAGTAAACACTTTTCATACGTTGCTCAAATGAAGACATGAATAATCGATTTAACAAGGAAGATTTTCCGAAACACGGTCCGATTCCGAAAGAAAGAATTGTGGGGAAATGAAAATTCCAAAGATAGAATATTTCCGGCATCATTTGCATTGTGTTTCCTGGTTGCGGATTCAGCAGTGGTATGGGATTCTGTTTACTCAAAAGTGACATGACAACGCGTGAGACTAATACATTAGAATTAATTAAGAGAATATGGATCAACATTCGTAAGCTAACTTTTGAGAGTGCTTGTGATAATGCTCTGTCAAGCAGCGATGATTTACTAAGGGAAAAGAGAGTCTTCATAAAGATTGTCAAATTCTGTTGTCGTTTCAATAAATACATGAGCGGTGTTAGACAATGATAGATTACAAGTGAAAAACATTTATGCTTTTGATATTGTAACAGAATATCTTCTAGGATATTTTTCAACGTTTTCTGGATATAAAGGAGTTCACCGGCTTGTACCAAGTCTTCTAATTGAAATTTTCGTGCTCGAATACATGATGCCATGGTTTCAAATTCTGAAGGAGACTGTGAAGTGGATTTTGGAAGCGCTGACTCCTTTACTTGCATAGGAACACTTTCAGATGCTTCCTCTATTGTTGATCTTGGCGTTTCCGATTGTGGTAGGTCAGCTATTCGTTCAGGCAACTCATCTTTTCGATCCGAGGAGAAGGAGGTACGGGGTTTATCGTAGAATGTGTTATTCTGAGCTGAAACTGCTGCATTTAATTTCGGTGTATGTGAAGGTGGTAACAAGCTACTTGAGTCTTTTGTTGGTGAATCGTTTTGTTCAGGCATTTGTGTTAAAAAGATATCTTCTTCCTTTGGGATTAGATGCACATTGATATCATCTGCTTTGATTGCTTCTGATTGTGATACTTTATCTTCTCGTTTATCCAATGCCTGGTTCTTATCAACAGTTTCTGATGGAGAACTACATGTCGTGACAGTTGATTGTGGTGCTGATTGCGTACAAAATATCTCATCATAAGCTGGTGGATGCTCTCCAGTGTCGTCCACAACGGCAACTTGAGAGATTTCGGCTGTTGATTGCAGTGCTTTGGCTATGGATCGATTATTCTCTTTGGATGATATTTGAGTTGGATCCGAAGAATTCATTATTGTTGAAGATTCCGATGGCTCTGTCTTTTGGTTCGAATTATCATCCGACGCCGATGATTTATGGTCTTCAAATTTTAACTCGCTCTTATCACTATTGTTTTCATCTTTCCCAAAAGCACTTATATCTTTCATCAGTAATTTAAAGGCTGGTTCCAAAATCAATCCCTTCACTGACTTTGTATTTACACCATCCAGCCAACCTTTTTCAGCAACCGCTGTCGGAGCAATCGAATATAAATTGCGTTTATCAGGGATATTACATTTCTTGAACAATGTCAGCAATGGTTCACGAAAATATTCTTCTAAAGCTAACAACAGTGTTGAATCATGTTTTTCTTCTTGAATCAACAGCTGCTTTTTACGATGTTCTTGAACTAATTGTACACCGTTTGTTGTAAGATCTTGCCAGACATTTTTTACTTTGTCTTCCTCATTCAACTGATAGAGAAAGTGAATTGTTAAGAACAAAGTTTCGTTGGAAAATGGAATACCGTACGCTGATATTTTGGTCAATATTTGCTCATACAAATCTGATGTATCTCTTTTTCGTTCGTCAAGAAAAGTACGAAACCATGTGTCAATCGGGTAGATCAGGGACCATCGTTTTTCATTGTACTGTTTTAATGCAGTGAGTAATGGACTTTCGTCTTCCATTTCTTCATCGAAAACGACCGGCATAACTTCATCGCAATGCAATACAAGTCTCTGTCTACCATTCATCATCAACTCTTTACAAAGATTTCGACTATCATCTGTATCATCAATATCTAATTGTTTCAATATAATGCATACAAATTCCTCTTGTAATTTGTCTAGTTCAATATGATTATTGTTCAACGATGTCGTTGTAGGTGCTAATTTTAACGAGATTGCCGACGCTGCTGAGATAGCAGGAGTATCCTCCATTGTCTAAGCAAAATTAAAACGCGATCTTAAAACCTTTGTTACTAAACATAGAATACAGTACCCCTCTCGTAAACAAGAAACTCAAATTTCTAACTGCGACTTTTATATTATGGTTGGTATCGTTGAGTGTGAATTGCGAGAGGACAGGATCCTTTGGATTGCCCAACACGGATCAATTTGCAGTAACGACAAAACTTTTGACTGCCTTATCTTATGTCGGATCTCCTCAAAATTAGTGTTCCAATATAACGAATCAACTCAGATTTAACTAAATATTATGTCGACAGGAAGACTTGAAGCAAACAGCTCACTTCTGCTTTAAACTTTCTTATCTGCTTATAAACTTTCTACCTTCCTTAAAGACACAACTATTCAACCCTCAGCAACGACCTGTTTTTTACAAACTTAATCATCGATCGCGTACGTCAGCTCATTATTTAACAAAGTAAGTTTACCGAAAAGCTTTAACTTACCTGAAGTAAACTGCTGTCGACTTCTCACTACCTTGTTTTCAAAAATACGTTATTTTTCTGCTGGTGCTATAATTTATTCTGATGTTCTTTTTTTAACAAAGATAAATGAAAGCAACAACAGAATTTCTTTAACAACTTATAGACTACTCATTTCTTTTTTGTTCTACAACAGAACTGTGTAACTTCTTATCGACCATTTTACTCCGTCATGATTACGAAAGAAAAAAATTCTCAGAATCTATGGTTGGCAGAGGTAACTTACAAATAAACAGGTAAGGCGTGACACAGATAGCAAATCAAAATAAAAAATGCGTGATGTGATGAAAATAAAAAGTAGAACAGAAAAAGAAGGAAAATTTTTGATATATCTGATTTAATAAGTGTAAGAATAGAAAGTTGTACTGGGAAAAAAGTGGCGTAATGGAATAACGCTTCGAGAAATGATGATGTTTTTTTCTTAATGTTTATTTATGCAAATAGTGACAAATAGTCGAACAAAACATACAAGTTCTTGCAGAATAAAAAGAAGATCACCAAAATTTTGCTTGTAATTTTTTTTAATTTGAACATGACGTAAGAGAAAAAGTTCTAACAATTCAAAATATTTTTCATACTCTTTAACTATAATAGAAGATTTTCTATACGAAGAGCAAATGAAAATATCACTTTTATTTGATTTGATTTTCAGAAGGGTAGATTCAGTTTTTGAGCAGGAGGCAATAAATTGGTGTGGAATAGAATTTAATACATAAGTTACTACACCTGTGTGAGAATTATGAGTAACTGCCGACAGTCTATCCTACCTGTAGACAGAGTAACCAGAAATATCAATTTCAGAGTCTGTCACATTACTAGTTTAATCACGATTTATGGATGCAAATCACATCAATCGGGTAAAAAATCCCTTTAAAGTATAGAATTTCCTTTTTTTACTCCATTGATTGGACTTTATTTCGCAGAACTTCAAATCGCTTGATTCACATTCTTTAATCGATAAATTAAAGTATTTTAGACTTACTAAGTTACCGAAAAGCAAATGAAAAAACAGCGTCAGTATACGGTCCCAATGCGTTGAGCTACAAAAGGGAGCTATTCTCATGTCGACTCAGTTCGCATTGCAAAATCTCCCGTTAGTCTTTTTGTTCAATCTTTAGAATCAAGTGGTCGCTTTCGCTGATGTCCCATTCATCAAGTTGTTACATCAATAAAACTCCTTGTCTCAAACTCTTTTTTCACAGCTACGTCGGCACGTGTCCAATAGGCAAAATAATTTAAATTCTTAGGTAATTCGATACGCTCTATTGGTCTGTGATCCGACGTTCGATGACTCATGGTATGAATATTTAAAAAAATATATTTTCGTAACCAGCTCTGTCGAATCGTGTATATTAAGCCGAAAAAAGAAGCTACACTTTTGCATTACGTGCACCTTAGGAAAAGCACTATTTTTTTACCGATTACGAAAACCGTGTTTAGTCGCCGGTCTTATTCCGATTTTCAGCATAAGGGGAATTCGATTTTATTTCGAATGAGTTGAAGATGAGGGTGATTTTGAGGTAACGAACGTTGTCCAATGTCTAAAGCGCTTCGATAAAACGAAAATGCTTTCAAGCAATCTCCCGTTTTGTCATACACCACACCGATGTTGTTGTAGCCAAGCAAAAATTCTCTATGGAGTGGATCTAGCTCCAACACACACGTAACCGGGCGGTTATTCACTTGATGGATCTAGCTAAATGTACCTTTTTACCTAGTTACCTAGCTCCAACCTAGTAGTGAAC